GTGGCTCATCTCTCTATTTGTTCTTGTCCAGGGATGTCCTTGGCTGCTCTGCATAAAGCAACCTGCCTGCAAAAGTGATGCTCCCCGATCTAGAACGCTTCCTATTCCCTGTGTTGGAAATATAGACGTTATGCTCAGCTTTCTTCTTAGAGATCTGGCACACAGGACTCCCCTTTTCACCAATCCTCAGCCTCATGTATCATTGGCTTTAGACAGCCATCAAAAAATTAGAAGCAGATCAGGAAGAGTAAAAGACAAGAGTTTTAGAGGGGAGGTATGATGGAGAAAGAGAAAGAGGAGGAGAGAGATGTTGCGATGCAAGCAGCCACTGGTGAGAAAGGTCCACGCTGGATTGAGCGTAAATGAGGGTGGGTTGGGAAGAGGGAGGGGAGAGAGGGACAGAAATGCAGAGAGCAGGAGCAGACTGCGCCTATTTATGCTTTCTGTGAGAATGATTTGGTAAGCAGTGTGTAGAATAATCATTAGCCTATTCATTCACCTGCAATTGGATACGTTAGTAATTTTAGCTTCACAATGCTATTTTTGCTTTGTGGATGCTGTTACTTTTATTTTTTCCTTTGTCAATCTATGGTTGTAATTGACTGCACAGAAAACAAAGCAACAACCAAAAGGGTCAGAAACAGGTATTTTGCTGATCTGATCGCATCTCAACCCATCTGTCTGTTTTTAAGATTTTGCTCTGGTATCTTATAAATTCATCTTGCCATCTAGGAATGGTCATCTTACCTACTTGGCTAAACCAAAACAACAGATGCCTTAACACTGTGTGGCATATATGAATGTAAATTGGTGGTATGTTGGTGCCAGGCCATGAGGAATAACTCCTCAGAGGCTAAATAGACACACACAATTGTCACAGAAATTACTTGAAATTGACAAAAAGCGATAATAAATAAATGTTTTATGAAAATAAACAAATGAAAGGTAGACATTGCCTCTCAACCATGCTTTAATAGAAAAATTACGATAAAAAAAAACAACAAAAAACAGGCCTGGACGAAAATTATGGTACACCAAGTAAAGACATGTTCAATTAATGTGTGTCCACTAAGCATCACATGTGTCTACAATCTTGTAATTAGTTAGTGGACCTATAAATAGGACTAAAGGTATTCACCAGAGGAAGCAAAAATAAAGAGCTTTCTCAGTAGATTTCAAAGAAAATCAGACAAGCATGTTAAAGGTAATAGCTATGAGACCATATCCAAGCAGCTTGATGTTCCTTTGACTACAGATCCATGGGAATGTAGCCCATGTCCTTGGATGAAGCTGCAGGAGGAAAATTAATGACAAATCAAAGAGGATTGGTTTAAGGGTATGCACGCGTACGTAACGCTCACTGGCCACTTTATCGGGTATTCCTTACTAGTACGAAGTTGGACCTCCTTTTGCTTTCAGATGTGCCCTAATCATTCATGTCATACAGTACATTCACCAAGATACTGGAAACCATCCTCAGAGAATTTGGTCAGTAGCATCACACAGATGCTGCAGATTTGTTGCACATACAAATCCCACAATTGGATTGAGATTTTTTTCCAGCTTTTATTGTCGTTACACTGTCCTTACAAGTACAGAGCAACAAAATTAACTTTCTGCATTTAACCCATCCCCTTGGGGAGCAGTGGGCTGCCATAGTGCAGAACCTGGGGAGCAGTGTGGGCTTAAGGGTCTTGCTCAGGGTCCCAGAATGGGAGTGGGCCTCAAACTCAGAACCTCAGGATTCCAAGCTCTATGCCCTAACGACTAGGCCACCACTCCCCAAGACCCAGTGAATTTGGAGGCACTTTCTCATGTTTAAGAAATCAATCTGAGAGAATTTACTCTTTATTGCATGGAACCTTATCCTGCTGAAAGTAGCCATCAGATGATGGGTATACAGTGTTCTTAAAGGGATGAACATGGTCAGCTGCAATACTCAGGTAGGTTGTTGTGCTGTCACAATGCTCAGTTAGTGCTTAGGGGTCCAAAGAGCACTCTGTACCACACACTATTACACCACCCCAAGCCTGAATCATTAATACAAGGCAGGAGGGATCCATGCTTTCATGTTGTTGAGGCCAAATTTTGACCCTACCATCTGAATGTTGCAGCAGAAATCTAGACTCATCAGACAAGGCAGCGTTTTTCTATTCTTCTGTTGTCCAATTTTAATGAGCCTGTGACAATTGTAGCCCTGTTTTAAGGAGTTTGCACCCAGTGTAGTCTACTGCTGCTATAGCCAAACTGCCTAAAGGTTTGACACGTGCATTCAGAGATGCTCTTATGCATAACTCGGTTACAACGATCTGTTATTTGAGTTTCTATTACCTTTCTATCAGCTCAAATTCGTCTGCCATTTACCTCTGACCTCTGGCATCAACAGGACATTCATGCCCACAGAACTGTTTCTAGCAGGATATATTTTCTTTTTTGAACAATTGTAAACCCTAGAGATATTTGTGTGGGAAATTCCAATAGATCAGCATTTCTAAAATACTCACACAAGGTCAGGCGCAGGACAATAGGACCCAGTATTCAAGGCGGACAGACAGATTTCACGAATCGTTAATTATAAAAAGAACTGCAGTGAACAGTGTTGTCGTCTAAGTCAGGAACCTCTGCTAGAGGTTAGCAACAGGTTAGTGAAAACGTCTGTCTGACAGAGGATGATTAAGAATGTAGGAGTCACTAACCTGGTCTTATGGCGTTGGGCGCCAACCAGAGAGTCCCAGACGCTTATGTCTCGAAGGTCAGAGGACAGGCAGGAGATCAGAACCAAGCAGACAAAGGAAGGCAGGACAATCCAGAGGGTGGAGCCGAAGCCGGTGTCGAGAATGAGCTTGGTAGTCAGAGCCAGGAGATCAGAGGTCTGAAGAGGTGCCAAAGGGAAATCCAGAATGGAGTCGAGAAACAGTTCTAGGTACAGTTCACAGACAGGCAGAAATTGGGCAAGAGTCTGAAAACAGCTCAGGTAAACAGATCAGAACAGTGACAGGCATGCTCAGAGATCAAGAGGCAGAAGGGGTCAGGATCAGGCAATCAGAAACACTCAGGAACGCAAGAGAACTCACACCACTGGCTCGAATAATTTGGCACTGATGACTGGTTGAAGGCTGGTTAAATAGAGGCTGAAGCATGTGGATCAGATGAGCTGTAATGACAACTGGGCGGAGTTAGAAAGGTGAGTGAAATGAATATTCAGACCAGACATCTGTCTTAATTGATAATTGTTGCACAGTGGGATTCATGTTCTCTTCTTTCAAGCCAATCCCCTCCAAAAAAACATACATACCTATTAAAGATTAATGCAAAGTCAACAATGCAAAGGAGGGAAAGGTCCACTGTTGCCTCATGGGTATTTAAAAGGAGGAAATAATAAAAGTCAGGACTCAGTGTCATCTTCGAATATTTCATAATAAAATGAATTTAAAATGTGCTTACTTAACCTGGAATCTGTCTTAATGAATTGATTGAATTGTATTTTTTCACTGTAAGGTGTCTCATGACATTTGTTTTGAATTTTGCACTGAATTCGTTGTATTAATTGGCACACAGAAAGACTTAATTTACCAGTTAGTTGACTTTGGAAGGTATTTTGTACACTTATATCATATTATTTGGAATCAATATGAAGGCAAATCAAACACAACACCTTTTCAGATCTCAATTTGACAATAAAACATTTTCCTTTTCCTGTTACTTAGGCATATTTGAAAAAAAAGAACAACAAAAAATTATAGATAAATAGAGAACCCAGGTGCAGGGATTAAGGGAAACACAGGTGAACTGCATTGACTGCACTGACTGAGGGAAGAATGTTTCAAAAGGGATAAATGATGAAACACACAAGGAGGAAAGAAATAAAAAAGAATTCTTGGAATAATCATCAAATAAAGACAAAACCAACTAGGAACACCAGACAATAATAAAAAAAGATATAGTCTTGATAAAAAAAAAAAAAAAAAGTAAACATAAGAACATCCAAAATCAAAAAAACTAAGATGCCCTACTTATTGTTCTGTCTATTAAATAGATTAAAAATAGGGTTTGAATGAATCTGCAGTTGAAGTAACATCTGAAAAATATATTTATTTTTTACTTTTCATAACAATGGCTAAGAATTTTCTAAAATAGAGTCGAGTTTCAGAGAATGTTCAGCTATGACCAGTCAAAGTATCTTGGGGCTTTCACTAGATATGATTCCATATTCCTTAAAAGAAATAAGTGTAAGAAACAGACTTACCTCCATAAGTCAGCCATGGTGCATGGCCATATTTTTCTGCACTGCTAACACTATGCAAAAAGCTAGGGGGCATCAAATCCCCTTTGTCTGGATTAGTTTGGGATGCTGAGATGAATATTTTTCTTTTGACTGTTTGAGTCACCTCCCCAATGAGCGTCACACTGGATGGTTTTCCTTTGTCAAACAGGGCCACCAGTGCTATTTGTAAAAAACATTTTTTTTCTTTAATGTACACTGTTAAGCACATACATAGAGGATAAGAACAAAAAGCCACAACCCGTCAACACCCCAACAACTAAGAAAACACAAACATCTTTCTTGGTGTGAAGCTTTATCCCTGAGCCTTTTTCCAAAAAGATGCTACCAAAAATTGTTAAAAGTTCATGTTATGATTATTTAGTTGTACTTGCACCTGCATAGCCAAATTACTGTAAGATATTACGGGGAAGTTAAACATTGCTCTTTAATGTGACAGGTTCCTCCAAGACATGATCTGATTTAAGACATGCCAGAATAACAATGTCATTGTCTTTGCAGAGATATAGATTTGTCTTTGGTTAATTACAGATTACCTTTTCTTTAATGGTAAACCTTTTGTGATGTGAATGTGTTGTATGGAGAATGTGTTTTGAATTACACAGCTTTCTCTGTGTAATTCAATGCCAAGTGTTTTCTCACATTGCATTCTGATGTGTGACTCATAGGAGGGAGGGACTTAGTAGGGAGGAAATAGGTTTGACTTAATGCATTTCCTGCCCCTGAGCAACCGATAAATCAAGAAACAGGAAGAAAGAGTGAAGTCCTGTTTTCTGAAAGATTTCCACCAAGTTAACTTTGAAAGCTCACGTGGTTACAGTGGAGCAGAAACACAGTAAGTATAACTTACACAGCCTTTTCTGTTTCTTTTGGGAAATACTTTTGTTCCTCTCTGTTCCAGTCACAGACTTTGCAATGCTTTCACTTCAAAAAGAAAAGAGGAATACAACAAGTAATCATTGCAAGTTTTAAAAAACCAATCCAGAGACTAAGCTACATGATGTTTCTCTCTGTTTCTCAAGTATCTGTTCAGTTTTTATAGATTTTAAAGTTACAAGCTGTGTAAACACCCTCACTGAGAGATGACAATGAGGAGCAGCGAGACGTTTGAAGATGAGGACTTGGAAAAATGGCGTAAGATTGATACAGGGGGGTTCGGTGCTGTCTACAGAGTCTTTCACAAAAAAATGACAACAGATGTCGCCGTCAAGATTCTTCTTCAGGATGCATGGTACATTTATTTGATTATGATTCAGGGTAAAATACAATCTGTTGTTTAAGATGATAAGCTATCCTTTGTCTAGATAAATTAATATTTAACTGTTTTATATGTATTGTCAATTGACTTTTTCAGCTCCTCTGAAACACTGATCAAAGAGGCTAATGATCTGAAAGAAATGTCCTCTTCATATGTTCCCAAGGTGTATGGAATTTATCAGGGAAAGCCACCTCATGAAAATTCAGAGAAGCAGGGAATAGTCATGGAGTTTATGAAAAGGGGATCTATTCACACCCTGCAGAAGGACTTATGTGTTCCTCCACCACTGCCACTAGCCATTCGATTGGCCCATCAAGTGGCTTTGGGGATGCAACACCTTCATTCAAAGAACTTTCTTCACCATGACCTTAAACCAAGCAATGTTCTCCTTGATGACAACTTCAATGCCAAGGTAAAGTATTAGTAATGTAAGCCTATTTGTCTGCTTTTTTTTTTTTTTACAATAAGACTAAAATATAACTTGGTTGTATTTTTCCTTTAACATTTCTCAGCTGGCAGACTTTGGTCTTTCCAGGGTGACCACCAGTGTTTTATCCAATTTTGATCAACCAACAGGGCGTTCAGGCACTTTTAAGTACATGCCACCTGAAGCTTTTGATTTAAACTATAAACCCGTTCGCTCTTTTGATGTTTACAGGTAAAAAATGGTTACATGAATCACATATTGGATGAAGTACTTGGCCTATTATTATTTTCTTCTGTAGATCAACTTCTCATTAGGCTGTTATCCTGAAGTAAGCACAAAATTCAACAGTAAAAATGCAAACAGAAATCAAAGCAAACCAGTCTATTGGATACGCTAAATAAACTGGATATAAAGTATTGACTATATATATATCCACTGAAATCTGGTGAATATATTTCTCAGTAATGACATTACTGTAATGCCATGATATTCTCAAAAAGTTTATATTCAGATCCTTACTTAGAATGACCTGGCACATTTCTTCATTTATACTTATCAGAAATCTGCCATAACATGATGTTTATCATCCAGCCTTCGTCATTAGGGGTTTTTGGGTTGATGCATTTATTAGTCAACATGACATGTAACATCCAAAGAGTTAAATTTTGCTCTCAGCTCAGCACAGTATATGTATGTTCCCCCATTAGTTCATTGACATATTACTGGAATAATCTTTAGCAACAATTAAATAGGTTAAAACATCTTTCTTCCTCTGCAGTAAAGTCCATGAAATTTAGTACACATTAAATTACTTGCCATTTCAATGATTGCAATTTGCATGTCCTAAGGCAGGTAAGGAAAGGTTTTTGTTTTATGTACTTCTTTAAACCATACCAAGTTCAAGTCACTAGCTTCATTTGAGAAAAGTATTCACCATTAAAAACACTGATGCATTCAAGTCTTGTTTCTCTTGCAGGATGTTGAAAAAAAAGAAACAGCAAAAATCACAACTGTTTTTATCTAAAAAAATTCTGTTTTGTTTATCATTTTTCTATCAGCTATGGTATCCTCCTTTGGTCTGTCTTTACTGGTAAAGAACCCTATGAAGGTATGACTAATTATCTTTTAATAGCCAATTATCTTTTTCTAACCACTCTGAAGTAATATTAAACCTATGCATTTTTTTCTGCCGCAAAAGTCACATTGCTTACATACCGGTAGTTTATTCCTGTTTATGTCATACAAATACAGATCCAGGGAGTCAATGTGTCTTTGTTGCTTAATTTAGGAAAACAATTTTCCCTTGTGGAACTCAGGATTCCAAAGGGAGACCGGCCTGATGTCAAGTCTTTGCCTATCATGTCATGTCTTTGCCCGAAACAGGAGAAAGACAAGAAGGAAATAGTTGAGCTGATGAAAATTTGCTGGGATGGGACACCATCCAAAAGACCTAACTTTGATGGTATGGCTGGGTTTGGTGTGGAAAAGAGATGTTTATATATTCCTTTTATATGTTCCTGGTTGTTAGCATCTTGGACTAAATTTTATGCATCGATCTGGTAGTTATCGAAAAACAGGCTTAAATGGGAGGCCACCAGATTTTGATTAAGCATAACTCTGGTTTCCTTTAAGCCTATTTGTTGTTGTCATGACAAGATGACAGAATTGGCACAGACATCTTTTAGTACATGCATGGCCAAAGCCGGACTTTGAGGGCCACTGTCCAGCAGGTTTTAGAGGTTTCTCTGCCTCAGCACAGCTGACTCTGATTGCAGTTCAGCAACAGCTTGTTGATCAACTATCAAATAGGAAAATAGGAAAACCTCTAAAGCCTGCAGGACAGCGGCCCTTAAGGGGGCCGACTTTGGTTTTAGTGAGCTAGATATTTAATAATTCAAACAGATATTCTGATTGTCAAAACCATTTAAAGACAAATGCTTTTTTTCTTTTTTAGATATTGTTGAAATCACTGCTCGTGTGTTCTCAGATCATGAGGATGGAATTGATGCTGCCATTGAAGAAGTCAAATTAAAACTAGAACAAAACGTAATCCAGAACACCATTCCTTCCTAAATGTCTGCTTCCCTCTTTGGCTCTTATTCCAAAATCATTACCTGTCTTTTCCAGCAGTCAAATGTAAGCCATCAACATCATCAGACAAATGCTGCATCCTTGGCTTCTTTAACACTTCAAGGTAGATTAATGATTGTTTCTAAACTGTGTTACAACCTGCTATGAAATTGATAAATATTTTATCTCTTTCAGAAAATACAGAGGGAAATGATACTGTTGATTATGCAAGAACCATAGAAAAGGTATCAAGATTCAATGAGTGTGAACTTGTATCAGAAAAAAATATGTACATTTAATCATCAATGGCTTTTTTTTTATCAAGCAGAATTTCTCTGCTTTTTTTCCCCCATCATGTTATTTTCTTACCTAAGATTTAAAACCCAAGGAAAGATTATTCTCCTACAGTGAATTCACATTCCTTATTCCTACTTTATTCAAAACCCCTTTTAGTAATTTTTTTCCATGCTAAATATTGCTTAGTTACTGAGTTTGTATATTTTCTTTTTTTCCCCCAGGAAATCCCTGCCGCCGATGAAGCAAAACATTTGACAGAGAAAGACAAAGGTTTGTATTGTTGCTGTTTTATAAAAATGCCATATAAAAATATATATATTTTATTTATATATATTTTATTTATTTTATATATATATATATATATATATATATATATATATATATATATATATATATATTTCATTTGATTCTTTTTTTGTCCCCCACAACAAATAAAATACACAGCAAACCTTGTTGATGACATGAGAGCAGATATAATACAGGAATCCACCAATGTCATGGCACTGGTTGATGAGCTACGCAAGATGAGGATGGTTACCGGGGAAACCTATTCTATCATTGAAGAAACAAAAACAAATCAGGACAAAATGAGGGAGATTTTCCGAATGGTCTTACGTCAAGGTGATATGGTCAAAGCTGCCTTCTATGACGCATTGAAAAAACACGAACCACATATACTAAACAGTCATGGTACGACTATCTAATAATAATTACATAAGATTTTTTATTGTTCAGGTCTTTCATTTTTTTTTTTCTCTTTCCCCCATCAGATGGCAGCTGATGATGCATCAGAAGACCAAAGGTTTTGGTGTTTTTGTTTCTTTTATTTTTTGATATGTGTTGTTGTTGTTTTTAAGTTGACAGAGTTTCCAAACAGTACCTTTTCCCATAAATCTGAAGAAACAAGTTATGACTTTAGGAAAAAACCCATATATATATATATATATATATATATATATATATATATATATATATATATATATATATATATATATACTGTATATATACTGTATATATATGCAACAAATCTTTACTGTCTGAACATGTTTTTTACTATTTAGGTGTGAAGATTACCCCTTATGCTACCGGTAATCTAAAACCTTAACTGAATCCGTCACTGTTCTCTTGAACAGATGGATGAGTCTACCCATATCATTGATTGAATGTATTAACATTCTAGAAATGTCTTTTTTGTATAAATATCTTTAGCTTTTTCAATCAATCTTTTTCATATCTCTCCTAACCTAAGCCTCTATTGAACTGACAGTAAGCTATTAATTAAACAGACCAAACATTCTTTTTTGGAAAATACTATCAAAATGTGGTATGATATACATGACTACATGTCTCCACTAGCAGAGCAGATGCTGGCTTCAAAGTTTGAAAAAAACTACTCTAATGTCTTTTGAGCAACAATTTTGTTCTAGCCCATCACCAGACTTTTCTTTAAATACATCATAAATTGATGAATTTTATTACAACCAGGCAGGGTCTTTTCAAACCAACTTTTTCTCTCTTGAAAGTGCGATATCAAATAATTTAAGAGGTAAGTGTCAGGTCTCTTTATTATATAAATTGTTGATGAATACATCCAATGAATCTTTCCTAAAAATGGGACATGGGAATGACCTTGGAGTAGATGAATCTGAATATACGAAGTTTCAATTATGCTTTGGCTCAAAATCAGGCAATTAATGTACAATCCAGACTCCTTCAATACAAATGGTTGACCAGGCATTATATTACACCCTCAAAATTGCAGTATTTCAACTCAAACATCCCTGATTGGTGTATTACGTAAATGTGTAATTGAAAGGGGCTTGTTATTTTATTGTATGTGGGAGTGTTCTGAGGTGAAGGATTTTTTGAAAAAATATTGAATTTACTTTGTGAAATTGTTGATTCTTGCTTTCCTAAGTTGTGTATTTTGAATATTTACCAAAAAAGACTTTGTACTATTTGCAAGCATTTTGTGCTATTAGAAACTGGTCTCTTGGAAGAGAGAATCTCTCAACAGAGAGAATCTGTTGGAAGGATCAAGGACTGAGTGGATTCTCTCAGTGTCTCAATGGTTTGACCTCTATTGCAGCTTTGGAGAGGATAACATAAACATCATGGAAAAAACTCCATAAATTCTGGGACATTTGGACAAAGTTTTACAACTTTTTGGAAAATGAAAACCTTAAAGCTGTTGAGTTAACAGCATTGAGGTAATGTTGGTGCTTGGTTTTGTTCAGATTGTTTTTATATATACATATATATACATTTTATATATAATATATACAACAATAATCATATGGTTGTCTTTTTTTCTATCATCTCAAATATCAAATATCATTAATCTGTCCCCAACAATTATTTTTACTGACAGGTAAACAATTTTATTTATTTTTTGACAACTTCTTATAATGCAGAAAATCATCACATTCTTTCCAGCAATTTATTTTAATCTCTTTTTGCAGATGTACAATAAATAAATAAATAAAAATTTAATTATTGTAACATAAATAAAATAGACTTATAAAATCTTAGACAAGATTCTGAACTTATGTAGAGAAGGAAAAATATTTTGCAATCATTATGGAAAGTTAAGAATTTTTTTCATTTTTTTTCAAAGTTTATTTATTGAGCTTTTTAATTTTTTCCACAGAAAAACAAGACAGTTAAACCTTAATACAGAAGAAAAATAACAATAATTGAAAAAAAATGTAAATAAAAGAAAAAAAAAGTCCACGGTGGTCGTCCAAAAGACATAAAAAAAACGTATTCAGAGTCAAAATTCAGAGATTATTGTTCTATGTGGGAAATAAATGAATACGAATTTATTTCAAATTTAGTCATTGATTCTTTCAGTGTATTTCTCGTTTTTTTTTTCAATTTTTAAGAAAAACATCGTTCCAAATTAAGGCGGTAATTTTTCTAATTGAAAAGAATAAGCTGACGTGCCAGGAGGGAGGAGAAGGCCATGCCGTTCAAGAATTATTTTTTAACCCACTATACAGCTATATTTTAATATTTCCCAAAATTAAATCCAGTACAACCAACTGCTTATAAAGGTCACCTGCTCAATGTGCAGATATAACCACAGAGAAATGTTAAGCAAGCAGCCAATGGGCAGCAGAGCAGGAATTGCAAAGATTTCTGGAAGAAAAACTTTGCAGTCCAGGACTGGATAGAGGTTAAACATTATGATGACCTTCAAAAAACAGCCAAACCTGCAGGTTGATACTTCAGTTCAAAGCACATTCATCTGCTGAATACTCTATTCAATGTGCAAAACTTAATTAAATTGAGAACTTGTGGCCTACCACAATAAGTTATGAGCTTCTCCAGTCTATCTCACTAGTTTTGTCATGGAAGATTAAGTCTTTCTCAGTATGTCATTTATGTTCATCTCTACAATCAAGAACAGAAAATCTCTCTCAATCATCAATTATCTCTCACTTAACAATTATGTATTTTGTTACATAAGTCTGCCAACCTCTGAGAAGGTTGCAAGTACCCGGTTCGATCCCTGCAGTCTGCTCTCTGGGTTCCTGAGCAAAACCCTCAACCCCACACTGCTACCTGTGTGCCGAACAATGGCAGCTCAATGTTCCCCAAGGGGATGGGTTAAATGCAGAGGTAAATTTCTCCAATGTGAAATCAAAAAAGTTCCTTCATCATTATTATTACAACAAAATCACAATGAAATGTACTTATCATTTAATATTGTTTTAAAAGCGTGAGGTTTATGACTCCTTTTGTATCCAAAATTTACGTATGGGAGGGGTGCAACTTTTCAATTGTTCATCTGGGTGGGAGAAAGCAGTGGACCCAGAGAAGGAGAGACTGTAAGAGGCTTTTCTTTTTCAATCCCTAACAATAACTGTCACAAGCAGTCAGTGGATCAACTGCAGATGATGTTGACAAAGAAAAACCAAGAAGCAAGAAAAAACCCCGAAACAAACTGAAAAAAGTATATAATTTTCTAGTTAAACGTACACTTACTGGTGTTTAAAAAGCAAAACTCCACTAAACATAGAATAAATTATCAGCTAGGATCAAGAAAAATATCTTTTTTCCCTAAAGTTAATGTCAATAACTGTTCAACTATTTTATTTTTATTATCTGTGGCAGATCTAATGGGAATTTAATCTTTAAGACTAAAAAAAGTTTAGTTTTTACTAACTTATTACAAAACTGTATTTTTAAGTTTTACTGGCTGTATGCACATATGTTGAAACCAGTTCCCATGAAATAAATAGCAGAAAGGACCTAACTAGGCTTTCAATTTACTTTTCTTTACATCTCCACCTTCTAGACATGCAAACATTCACATAACTGCAGTCCTTTGAAGGAAGAGTGTTCAAGTGTAATCTTGACCCATCCTTTATCCTTGGTGCGGCTCCCTCCCTCCACCCTACACACCTATCTCACCCCACCCCACCCTGCTTTAATGCTCCCAATCCTCTTTGTGGGAGAGTGACGTCTGCTACAGTCTGAAACAGAGCTCAGCAGCCATCAGGGGAACAGAGTGCAAAGAAGCTCCCAGCCTTGAGGGAAAACAAGCAAGACCAACTCAACTTCTCAATGCCTGAAGCAGGAGCATCCCTTCATAGATGAAATCATCCTAGAACTCTTTACCCTGCTTGATGACCTTTGTGCCTTCCATGTAAGGATCACTTTCAAGCTGAATTATAAACTCTGCTGGTCGTTCTCAACTTCTTTTTAAGGGATATTTCAGTGCTGCTTAATCTGCCTTTTTAACTGCACATATGTTCCTACAAACTTTAATACCTGAGGTTATGGTTTAACTGCTACTCAGAGATCAACACAACTGGCAAGAAGAACTAGTTTCCTGGTGTGCACATCTAATCAAACCGTCCCTGTTAATGAGATCATATAACTAACCAACGCACTGAGTGCCTCTCTTGAGATCTGCCGATGTTTACTTGGAGTGCAACGGTGTGATTTTAATTGTATGCAGAAGGTCTGAAGAGCAGTGTGTGTGTGTGTGGAGATCACAGAGCTGGATTTCCAAGAGATGGATGGTCATGGTTATGACCGCTTCGGAGAGAGTGAGAGGGACAATTACCAAATTGACTATAGAAGGATTGTAGGAGACATGGAACCAGCAAGGCCTCGAGTCTCAAACAGAGAAGGGGAGCAGTCTCAGCACTCCTTCCTAGCTCATGCCCATCCAGCATCATATGGACATGGGCATGAGACTGCAGCCCAGAGGTACAGCGCCACACGAATCCAGGCTGGATATGAACTGGAGAGGTTAGTGTCCACACTATTGCTCTAAAACATGAAAACATGACTAACAAGCGAATGAAATATTCTCACTTTCTATTGGCAACAACCTCTTCCCCTTTCCAAGCCTATTTACCTGCAACCTTGGCAGTCAACCAAATCCTCTTACCTGCTGTGCTGCCGTCATGAGTATATAGGAGTTTCCATTGACGGTGTTATGCTCCTTTTGATAGCATTTCCTGTCTGCACTCCTGATCTAGCAGCAACATGATTTACCCAGAGGTCAGGATGAAAATATTTACACCAAATAAGGGGAAATATTAATTTTAGATTTAATTTGGTTTTAATTTGAGACACCTTCAATCAAATTCCTCAGATTTTTATGAGTTTGAATGATTTAGAGCGAAATACGCATTGATGTTTATCAGCTTCACTTTGTTTCTACTTCTACCAAGTATTAGAGATTAATAATCCATACCGTATTGCAGCTATTATTTGTAAGGATGTGAAATGTTCATGTGTTTATGTTTCAGCTCGGCCGACTACTTGATCAGTGGAGGAACAGGTTATGTTCCCGATGATGGACTTACA